AAAAAAAAAAAAAAAAAAAAAAAACCCGGACTAGCCCTGGTCCCGTGCCCACCACCAAAATGACTATTAGCGGGGGTCAGTACCCTGCTGTGTCCAATCCAGGAGGCACCACTGGGCATCGCTGACGTTAAGTTCTAGACCCCACTCTCTCCCCAACACCTGGAATAACACCAGTAGGCTGGGAGGGTCACTTTATTTGTATTTTGATTCATGGGGTGGGGCTCCCAGGACAAAACGGGACTGGCTCCCCATAGGCAGGGGCGGGGGGCAACCGCCTGGGCTCCTGGCCCAGAGCCTCATTCTGGCCTTTGGGAGGCAGAGCCCGGCCTTCCAAAGCACGTCCTCCGCCTTCCCGCCTTCTCCAGGGGTCCGCTTGCTCCTCCTCCCCACCACCACACGAGCTGGGGACAGGCCCTCCGGTCCTGGGGGAAGGGGAGAGGATCCTGAGCTCGGAGTAGACCAAGCAGGCTAAGGCACGACAAGGCCCGTGGAGTCATAAGGGCTTTTCTGGAGGTGATCCCCGCCGAGGCTTCTGGCCGGGTGGGGGCTCCACGCAGCCACTGACCATCCAGATGTAGTCCGCGTGCACCTGGCCCTGCACAGCCTCGCTGACCAACAACTCCCCGTCGGCGGCAAACACACCCTTTCCATCCTTGGGCTCCAGGCGGAAGGCGACCACGGGCGCGTACACCAAGTAGGGACAGGCCTGCTCCAAGTGCCTCCCCTTCTCCATGGCCAGGAAGAGGCGCAGCAGCGTGGCCCGAGACACGCCCGCCCGCACGTAGAACAGGTGCATGGTGCCGGCGGCACAGCGGCCCATCGGGGCAGCGAACATCTCGCTGCCCAGGTGCGAGTGCAGCAACGCCAGCACCAGCACGAAGTCCTGCTCCGGCACCACCGTCCAGTGCGCGGGCACCGGCTCCTCCAGGGGTACGAGGTGCGCGTCCGTAGGGCCCTGCTGGTCCTGCCGGTCCACTGCAGGGGAGGCGGGCACCCCGGGGACCCCCCTTCCTGCGGGCAGGTAGGCCAGTCGGCCCCGGTACACGCGCAGCGCCGCCAGGCGCAGGAAGGTGCCCAGAGTGAAGCGGAGCTCCCCGAGGCGCCGAAACTTCTCGCTCTCCAGATCCACATCAGCGATGAAGCCCCAAGACAGGCTAAGCACGGAGAAGAGGCGCAGCCCCGAGGCGGTCTGCAGTGACAGGAGGTTCATGGGCTCCAGCAGCCGGCGGCACAGCAGCAGGGTGCAGTTGGTCAAGAGGTCCTCGTTAGTCACCTGCTCATAGCTGCGGGGGAGAGAGGTCGGAGGGAGTGAGGCCGGAGCCCTCGTGCATCCTCCCCTTCCGCCGCCTGGGGACATAAGGCAGGCAAAGCAACACCGGGTCCCTAGGGAGTTAGTCGGTAGGAATGACAGAGGGAGCAGGTGGAGGCAGCCAGCTGGAGTGACCGAGAGAGGGCCCCAGAACACAGCGTGGAGGCTCCCGAGAAGAGGGAACAGAAGTTACCCCGGGATACGGGGACTTAGAAAAGAAAACCTGGCAGGAGGGTGGCATGGAGGAGAAACTGAGGCCCCCTCGGACCCTGGGCTCTCACCCGGCATAATGGTTCAAAGAAGCTGCCAGTGCGTTGCCGGAGCCAGCTGGGAGGCTACACAGGGGCTTCCGGATGGCAGTCTCCCAGTCGGGCCGCTCCATGAGCCCGTTCACCACCTGTTGGAGCACCGGTGGCCTCAGCCCGGGGAGCACCCCGCCCCCCACCACCCACACCCAGTCTCTTGGGGCGGGCCTCACCTCGTACATCAGCCCGTCTCCAGACATGACCACCAGCGCGTCCCAGCGCCCCAGCTCCAACCCCTGCACCAGCTCCCGAGCGTGGTTCCGACGCTCTGTGGAGAGACGGGGTGGCCCCGAGGGTATGTATGGGGGACAGTGGCTGGGATTGCTCCCTGCCACCCCTCGGGGAGGCACTCACCAGTGAGCATCAGCGTGAAGGAGATGCCGGCCTGGGCCAGCAGGGGCTGCACGTGGCTCCAGAAGAGCTGCAGCGCCTTGCCCTTGCCTCCGCGCGGGTTTAACAGGACCAGCACGCGGCACCGCTCGGGCAGCAGGCTCCCGCCACCGCCCGCTGTTAAAAACAAACCCCAAGAGACCGCGTCCCCAACCGGCCACTAGGGGGCCGCGGATCACAAAAGGGGTACTTGGGCTGGAAACGTGGGGCCTGATGAACTCCCCCGGTAACTGATCCAACAGATCCCCGCCAGAGGCAGCGGCCTTCCAGGGGGGAGCTCCAGGAGCGGGAGGGAGCACGGTGCCCTTGCCACCCCGGCTCTTGGCTCAGACCCGGCCAGCTTCTGGCCTCGTCGGGAAAAGTGTTTCGACTGTCCCCCAGCCAGCCCCTTCTTTTTTTGCCCAGCTGACTCTGGCCATTCTTCCTGGCAAGGGCGGAAGGGCCACCCACCCTCAGCCCCTCCCCCCCCC